GATAAGAGTTCGTTGAGGTCCAGAGAGAGAGAGAAAAAACACCGGACCTTCGTGTGTCGACTCCCCAGCTCTAGGGGTCACCTGGCCGGCAGGGTGCGCTCAGAGTGACCGATGGGGGGGGGGCGGCCGGTCGGTCCTGGACCAAAATATATATATTTTTTGGACGGTCCCGTCCGGCTCTCTGAGTCACTGAACACCAAATTCGGTTGGAAGGAGGACCAACTTTAGTCCGGTTCGAAAAACGGGTCAGTTTGATGATAAAAGACTGCAGAGAAGCCGGAGGGAGCTGCTGTCCATCAGCTCGCCGGATCATGCTAACGATTGGTCTTAAAGGTACACCTTGTTTGTGGATTTTAGGTAAACCATACAAGGTGTGGCCTCCCCTGGGTACCGTCTGTGGTACAGAAAACGGTCAATAGCCTTGTCCTGCTCCAAATTTTCAGGCAATCTATCAATTTCTTCTTGTAACCACTTCCTGGATCTCTTTTCAGAGGTTCATAAGTGTTTAAGTCACTAAGGAGTGTCATAACTTTCTCATGATAGTCTTTCTGGTTCAAAATCACTGTGCACCTTCCTTTGTCTGCTGGGAGAATGATGATGTTTTTGTCCTTGCTAAGAGTGGGTCCCTCTCCTCTCTACTGATGTTGGAAGGTGGTGGTTTGGCATTGCTGAGGCAGGCTGAAACTTTGATTCTGAGCTGTTCTGCTTCAGCCTCTTTAATTTTGTTGTTGCGGATGGCTGACTCAGTAGCTGTGATCATCTCCACCAGAGGAATTCTACTTGGTGCAACCACAAAGTTCAGTCCCCTGGCAAGAATCTTTGTCTCCGGCTGGGTGAGCTGTCTGTCAGATAAATTCTTCACCCACTTTTCTGTCTCCCTGACATGTAATTGACTACTGGAGTGTTGTCCTACACTGAATGTGTTGTTATTGGAATAGTGATGGTGTTGATGAGTTATTAGTAAGTTAAACTTGTTTTGTTGTCGAGTCTTGGACTTAACATGCTGTGCTAAGCATGCCTGATCTGTACAGTCCAACACTTGCTGAAGTGTGGTCTGATCTAGACACAGTTAGTTTCTGTTTAATGTGCTTTTCTTTGGCCTTCAAGGCCTCAATAGTAAAATTGGTCTGTCTCACCCATTCATTCAGCAGCTGGGTCTGTGCCTTCTGAAGGATCTTGCTTGCCCGGTGCCCGCTGACCGAAGATTTTAGTTCCAGGCTCTTGGGAATGATGCCACTTTGTCGACATCTGAGGTTGAATCGCAAATGGTTCCTGTAGTCTGCCCTCTTCCTTGCTGTTTTCTCAAACTCTCTAACTAGTTTGAGGCAATCCTGGCCAAAGTGGTTCAAAATATTGTTGTGTGTGTAT